GTGGCGAGGTAGTTCCTTAAGCTCTAGTGTGGATGGGTTCGGTTTGTCGGGCTCACGGCTACAAAGAGTTCAATGGTTGGCTCTTCTTCCTCTTCAAGATCGGGCATCAATCTCTCTTCCAAATCTCGTACAGTGATCTCTTCCACGAACGGGCCATTCACATCGACAAAGGCACACTCCTCCACAAAGTTCACCGAAGGTGTCGAGGTGGCTTCTCGGACAGAAATGGACACGGACTCTCCTAGGACTATCATGTTCAACGTCCCATTCTTCACGTCAATGAGTGTGTTAGTGGTGGCCATGAATGGTTTGCCCAGAAGGATAGTATGGTCTTTCCCGTTCTCATGTACTTCCCCCACATCTAGAACAACAAAGTCCACCGGGACGATAAGCCTTCCTACGTGAACAAGAACGTCTTCCACCACTCCCTTGCGGTATCGAATCGAGCGGTCGGCAAGCTGGAAGCACATACGGGTTGTTCTCAAGTCACTGAATCCTAGCCGATGAAAGATAGAAAACGGTATAAGGTTGATTCCCGCTCCGAGGTCAAGCATCCCCGAAGCCTCTTTTTTGTTCCCGAGAGCAATTCTTATCATGAAACCTTCGGGGTCCCGTTCTTTCTTTGGAAGATCATGTTGCATGGCACTCACTGCCTCATAAACCACCACTTTCTCTCCATCTCCAAATTTTCTCTTTTTTGTCACCAAGTCCTTGAAGAAATTCACATAAGATGGCATGTTCTTGATCACGTCTAGAAGTGGTAGGTTGATATTGACTTCGAGAGCATATTGTATAGGTCCCGGAATTGCTGCTCCTGCTTCTTATCTCAAAGTCAGCTTGGGAAAATAATGCGTGACTTGTATGGGTTTGGGGACTTGTGAAGCAATGGACCCTCTGTCGGCTTTTCTGAATTGGTCTCTGTGCTCTTTTTAAGGTTCTACTCTATTCCCTTGGGCTGGTCGGTAGGCTTAGGGTCATCGGGTTCGGGCATCTTTACTTTGTTGTCGACTTCTTTCCCGCTCCTCAACACTGTTATTGCCTTGGCTTGCTCAGGCTGGCTCAGAAGTTTTCCTTTGTCGGACTCGGCCTCCATGTTCCCAACTCTCGTGTAAAGCTGGCCCACTTGCGTCTTGAGATGCTTAATCGATGAGTCTTGGTTTGTGATAAACTGAAGGATCTTGTCTAGCTTGTCATCTTGGTTCGACGGGCTCGATCCGGACCCTTGGTCTTGCTGTTGCGGTTGCTGTTGTTGTTGGTAGTTCAGACGGGGAATGAAGTTTGGACGGGGAATGAAGTTTAGACGGGGTTGCTGTTGGGTAAAGTTTGGACGGGGTTGCTGTTGGGTAAAGTTTGGACGGGGTGGCTGGAGGGTGGTGTTGTTTTTGGACCAAGAGAAGTGTGGGTGGTTTCTCCACCAGGGGTTGTACGTGTTGGAGTAGGGGTCGTTGGGTTGTCGGTTATGATATTACTTGAAGAGAATTGACGTCGGCATATTGCTCTCCGAGGTCATGATCGAATGCCGATGGGCACACCTCTGACCTGTGCCCTTGAGCTCTACACGCCCCGCATGTATCCACTGCCATGGTTTGTACTGGCTGCATTGTCCGAGCATTCAGTAGCCGCATTTGCTCCGTAAGCTCGGCTATCTGATGGTCCATCATGTCTCGTCCAGAAGATACCTCATTGACCACCGCTCTCTTTTCTTGACTGCTCTTTTGAGACGAGCTAGAACTCAACGCCTCAAAGATATCCATCATCTCCTCCGTCGTTCTCGCCCCGATGTCTCCACCAGTTGTATTGTCCACCATGTACTGAAGGTTCTGGTGGAGAGAATCATAGAAGCCGTTCATTAAAAGGGCCGGAGGAATATTGTGATGTGGGCACTGTCTCTGAAGATCCTTGAAACGTTCCCACGCTTCGTTGAAGTGGCTCGTGCAGTTGTTGGGCAAAAGAGACAATTTGTGACTGCAGCTCTTGAGTCTTCTGGTGGGAGTAATACCTCCCGATGAATTTCGTGTACACTTGATCCCAAGTGGTAAGAGAGTCTGGAGCAAGTGTCATCAGCCAAGCCTTAGCCGATCCTTGAGTGTTTCCGGAAAACACCTCATTTTCAACTGGTCCTCATTTAGTCCGTGGAATGGTAATGTTTGGAGGACATTGTAGAACTCACGCATGAAGTGAAGTGGATCTTCATTGGGAAGACCATGGAAGGATGGGAGCTGGTAGTAGTGGATCGTTTTCAGCTCGTAGTTCCGAGCTGTTGTCCCCAACCTGATGCACGAAGTCACTGGCCCAATCACCGGTTGAGCCAAATCGCGAAAAAGAGACCTAGGAGGATTATTAACTTCCTCATCTTGCTCGTTTTGTGCCATGTCGGTTTGGTTTTCTGATGCAGATGATTCTGGAGCAAGACTAGCTAACAAGTCTAGTAGGTCTTGCTGGAGGGATTTGTCGCTTGGGATGATTACACGACCACTTCTGGTATGCATAAACACTAAAACAAGAGAAGGTTACGAGCACCAATGATAAATAAAAAGAAACAAAATGAAAGAAAAATCAACAAAAGAATTAAATCCTAACGAAGAAAAGGAAAACAAGAAAAACACGACAAACAAAAAAAAAAGAAATCACAAAAATCAGAGAAACACTGCAAATAAAATGAATAGGCGCACAAAATAATTCCTAAACCTTCCCCGGCAACGACGCCAATTTTGTTGTATGTATTTTTACCGGAGTTAAATCAAAGGATTCCAACACCGGGTCGTCCCTCAAGGAAGGTTGGCCGGATAATTTTGCACGTGTATTCAATCACTCAAAAAGAGAAAAAGAAATCATAAACATTCTAATTCACAATTTTGGGTTTGATTTATCAACTACGAATTATGAAAATAAGGTAATCTATTCCAAACTCACAGCTCAAACACGATTTCAAATGGTATAAATGGACTAGGGTGTCGGGGACAATCGTTTTCGGTTCTCAATACATAACGGTCAATTAACTACTCAGCTAACGGACAAGCAACAACCAATTCATCTAGAGATTCATTCTCAGTAAATCACGAAACAAGAGAATAAACATAAACGAACAATTATCGAATCCATTAACACATAGACAATACGCTTCCGAATAAGTCTATTCTAAACAAGCCAAGATCGATCAATTTCTCCCCTTTCGGTTATAAAATTGATTAAGTAGGTTAAAATAGTGATCAAGCATTCAACCCTAAGTTTAACATAACTTGTCTAGATTGAGCAATTAACAATCACACAAACGAAATTAAACTGGAACAATTATCCCCTAACCCTAGCTATTGAATTAGCTACTCATGACTATTCCAACCTAAACATTCATATCAACCCAAGAAATCATCATCACACACAAATGAGAAGAAGTGCTTACGATTAATATAAATCCAATGTCGAGAAAGCAACGTGAAATCCAAATCCAAAAGCTAGAGAATGAGTTTTTACTCTCCACAATTCAATCCCAGCTAAAACCAAGAGAAAAATATGTTTTGGAAGTAAAAAACTCTGAAAAACGAAGTATGCCATGATTAATTATGCCCTCAGCTCGACCCTATTCATCCCCAATTCAAAATCACGAGAAAATCGCGACTGTTACAAAACAGACCTTAGCGGCGCTAACCCTTCTTAGCGCCGCCAAGCCACCTTAGCGGCGCTAAGGCACCTTAGCGCAGCTAAGCCTCGTTAGCTGCTCCCCTCTGGCCCCGCTAAGCTTCAAAACGGAGCTATCCACTATGGCCTTAGCGGCGCTAAGGCCTGGAAGATCAAAGTTGTGTCTTTTTCTTCGGCTCGCGTGCTCGTCTAGCGTCGCTCGGGTACTGGTCGAGCTAGAAACTCGATCTTCGCATGTTTGGGTCCACAAAATGATGCTCGAACAACACGCTTCTCCTCTCGTCTGAATGCTCACCAATCCGATCAACCTAGAACCTGAAATCGCACCACCGGAAAAACACGAAAAACAAAAAAAAATAGGAACGAAAACACAGAAAATACTAAACATACCAAAATAAAGATAAAAGCACAAGAAACAACAAAAAGGGACCGGAAATACCTAAGAAAGGACCTAAAACAGGGAAAACGACACACAAAATACTGACGAAAATAACCACACAAATGGGACAAACATTATCTCTTGCTGTTCCAGGTGGGTTTACTTATAAAATTTTCTATGCTATACGTGTTTAAGTGTTTAGTTGGTATGATTAATGTATGCATGTGAACCATGTGGCCTACCGATGTGAGCTGTTACGGCCGTCGGTACGGTTGTCCCCGTCGAGTTACGGTATGGTTGCTCTTGCGAGGCAAGTCTCGTTAAGACCTAATGAAAGGCCATGTCCTTGCGTAACACGCACTTCCGTTGTTAGGGTTTATGCATCCCTTTTCTGCGGCTAATGATAGATGTGCACATGAGTGAGTTATTGTTGTGATTGTTAGGAGATGAGACATGATGATGATTGATTTATATTCATGTTGTGACCATACCATGTTATGGTGAGCACTACATTATCATTTGTGCTCACTCCACCTGCTCTTCATAGATGCAGGTTAAGTAGTTGGCCGGTGACAAGGCAAGACAAGTGGGTGGTCTTTTTTTATTGCATTTAGTATCCGCTTATTATGAACTATGTTGTGACTTATTGAAAATCGTTTTTTAAACTTATTTTTTTGGTTTTGTTGGTTTTGAAATACTCATATTGCTTGGATTTATTGGATTCCAATTATGCATGTTTTTTTTTTATTAAACTGAGTATTATGTTGTGTGAATCGGTTAATGAAAACCATATATGAAAATTGGGTTTACGAATCCTCGTGGGTCCAGATAAGACTAGGACTAAGTAAATTATTTGATAATGCCCTTGATTTCAAAAATGAATTCGAAAAATGTTGTTCTGATTTTTAGAAAGCTCGGGATTTCTATAAAATCAAAGTGGGGTGTTACATCCGGCGGCTCCCCGACCCGACATTCTCCACCACCTTCAATATGCCGTAATCCTCCACCACCTGCCCGAACACCATGTGCTTGTCGTCAAGCCACTTCGTCGTTGTCGTGAAGATGAATAATTGCGTATCGTTTGTCCCCGACCCGACATTCGCCATCGACAGGTCCCGGTGTACTTTCTCACGATGTTTTTGTCGCCGAACTTGGCGTCGTAGGTCGACTCGCCGCCAGTGCCGCTACTCGCAGTGAATTCGTCGCTCTGGCAATCGGGGATTACACGGTGGAAGGATGACACTTTGTGGTGGAGGGGCTTGCCAAATTTGTCGACGCCTTTCTCGTCGGTGCATAGGGCGCAGAAGTTCTCGGCGGTCTTCGGGACAACGTCGGCGAAAACCCAAGTGTTCGATAGGTTGATTTTGAATTTTTTATTTAGGGGATTTTTGTGATTTTTTTCATTCGAGACTAACTGTTTTTTTTATATGTCTCAATCTTAGGGTTTTGTGATTGGGTGGGGAGGGATTTATATAAGGGATCGATTGAGTGCAAACTTTAAAAATATGGATTCGTTCTAAACTTTAAAAATATTTTGTGTTAGATAAGTACGGAGAAAAAATATTTATCAAGAATTAACATAATATGAGATCCTTTCCAAACTTTAAAAAGATTTTGTAGTTAAATAATTATGGACAAAAAAAATATCTATAGACAGAGATTCGTCCGAATATTAAAATCTTTGTTTATATATAAATCAACTTGTGCTTTGGGTGGGAATTTATGATTTTTTTTATATAAATCCATTATCAGTAAAAATAAAAATTTTAGGCGGGATTTTACATACTATTTACAACTAAATGTTTTGTCTTTTTATATATTCGTAGATATTATATATATATATATATATTTAGGTCGTGAATTTTTGTAAATAAATAATTTTATTATATTATATGATTATATGGCATAAAATAAGTTGTTTCAATCAAATAAGTGATATATTATTTCAGTTAAAAAATATTAACCACAAAAAAAAAGAAGTTAAGAATTAGGTCGTAAAATAATATAATTAGTTATTTTTAAGAAAATAAAATCAATATATTTACACACAAAAATTCATAAATATAAATAATTTATGGAGGAATGGAGTTTATCAATGTTTAGTATAACATCCATTATTCTCGGAATAAGTTTTTTTATTTGCAATATTAATTTGATTGGAAAAAACAATTCATAATTGTTGTGATATCTCAATTCAAAATATCAATTTTTTTGGACATAAGAATTTCAGAATTTGTTAGCAATAAAAATAGGATTTGTATTAATGAAATAAATTAAATTTTGGCATACGAATCTCCAAATTTGTTACCTTAAGAATCTCTAATTTTTTTTTTGGGATATCTCATTAAATTTTATTCCTAAAGAAAATAAGTCGTTTCAATCAAATAAGTCATATACTATTTCAATTAAAGAATATAAACCACCAAAAAATAGAAAAGAAGTTAGTATTTATGTCATAAAATAATATAATTTATTATTTAAGAAAAGTAAATCAATATATTTACACACAAAATTCAAAAGTATAAATAATTTATGGAGGACTGGAGTTTATCCATATTTAGTATAACATCCATTATTCTCGAAACAAATTTTTTTGTTTGATTTGAAACATTATTTTGAATGGGAAAAAAATCTGTAATTGTTGGGATATTTCAATTAAAAATCTCAAATTTTTGGCATAAAAATCTGAAAATTTGTTACCAATAAAAAATAGGATTCGTATTTATGAAATTAAATAAATTTTGGCATAAGAATCTCCAAATTCGTTACCTTTAGAATCTCCAATTTTTTTGGGATATTTTATTAAATTTGATTCCTAAAAAAAGTAAGTTGTTTCAATAAAATAAGTCATATATTATTTCAACTAAAAAATATAAACCAATAAAAAAAAAGAAAAGAAGTTAGGATTTAGGTTATAAAGTAATATAGTTTATTATTATTTAAGAAAAGTAAATCAATATACTTAAACACAAAATCAAAAGCATAAATAATTTATAGAGGATTAGAGTTTATCTATATTTAGTATAATATCCATTATTTTCGGAACAATTTTTTGTTTGATTTGCAATATTAATTTGAAGGGAAAAAAATTGGTAATTGTTGGGATATCTCAATTCAATCTCAACTTTTTGGCGTAAGAATCTCCAATTTTGTTACCAATAAAAATGAGATTCGTATTTATGAAATGAATTAAATTTTGGCATAACAATTTCCAAATTTGTTACCCTAAGAATATCTTATTTTTTTGGGATGTTTCACTTAAATTAGTTTCCTGAAAAAAATAAGTCGTTTCAATCAAATAAGTCATATATTATTTCAGATAAAGAATATAAACGAAAAAATAGAAAGAAGTTAAAATTTAGGTCCTAAAATAATGCAATTTAATATAATTTAAGAAAAGCAAATCAATATATTTACACACAAAAATCATAAATATAAATAAGTTATGGAGGATTGAAGTTTATCTATGTTTATATAACATTCATTACACTCGGAACAATGTTTTTTGTTTTATTTGAAACAATAATTTGTATGGCAAAAATTAATTGTAATTTTCGGGATATCTCAATTCAAAATCTCTTTTTTTGGCATAAAAATCTCCAAATTTGTTACTAATAAAAATGGGATTCATATTGATGAAATAAATTAAATTTTGGCATAAGAATCTCTAAATTTGTTACTTTAAGAATCTCTATTTTTTTGGGATATCTCACTTAAATTTGTTTCCTAAAGAAAAATAAGTTATTTCAATCAAATAAGTCAAATATTATTTCTGTAACACTCCGCCTACTTATTCTAGAAATAATAAAATCAGAGTAAAATTTTTACTTTTTAATTTCGAAAAAACTCTTTAACTTTATTTTCGAAAATACTCATACTAACTCGCGGGATGCTACTAACTTAAACTCTTTCTCATGCAGACGTAAAAATAAACACATGAACCCTAATCAAATCCGTTATATAGAGGTAACACGCAGATAAAGGAATTATACATGCATACGTCTGAAGTCTCATGTAATAACATGCTAGTTCTGAAATATGCGGAAGCTAAAATATGAGTGCACGGATAATAATAATAATAATAATAATAATAATAATAATAATAATAATAATAATAATAATAATAATAATAATAATAATAATAATAATAATAATAATACATGTTCATATGAATGAAGTCAAATAAAACCGTCAACTTGCTCGAGCAATAATAAATACATTCAACCTGCCACCGAGGTCGAAAAATAAATTCGATAATACATCACCAAGTGAAAAGGAATCAACCTGTTCGAGCATTAAGGAGTATCCTCGACCTGCCACTGAGGTTGAAAAATAAATTCGACAAACTAGAATGACCAACCAACAACCTGCTCGAGCAGTAATAAATAATCAAGTGAACATACTCAGGCGATAATGAACATACTCGACCTACCATCGGGGTCAAGAAATTAATTCAACAAACCAGAATCAACAACAACCTACTCGAGCAGTAATGAATACACTCGACCTGCTTTTGAGGTCGAAAATGAATTTCGACAAAATCAAGCTCAAATTCAAAAAATCAGCCTGCTCAAGCAATAATGGATATACTCGACCTTCCACCGAAGTCGGAATGGAATTTCGACAAAATTAAATTCAAATTCAAATCATCAACCTTGTAACACCCCACTTTGATTTTTACAGAAATTCCGGACTTTCCAAAAATCAGTACAAATTTTTCGAGATCATTTTCGAAATTTAATGGGTGTTAAACAACATTTTTCATAACCCAAGTCTTATCTGGGCCCGCGGGGATTCATTACCCGGTTTTCACGAATGGTTTTCATTAACCAAAACATATCATACGAGACTTAATACTCAACATGAATAATCAAACCACATCATCATACCCAATAATCAAGGTTTCCACAAATTTCCCAAAAACAAACATGCCATAAGTTTTGGAAAAAGGTTTAAGCAAGTCTCAACATAAAGGTTCATAAAGTTTTATTTATTCTACGGAAGCATAAAATGCATAATAAAATGACCGACCCACTCGCCTCTTCTCGTCACCCAGCTTCTGCTTAACCTGCATCGGTGAAGAGCAGGTGGGGATGAGCACAAGATGAAAAGCGTGCTCACCACTATGCACATATATCACAACATAAATAATGAAGAGAAGGTATGGTTAGAGTATGAACATAAAACAATTAATCTGTCACGTCTCCTAATCACATAACAACATAATACCCACGTGTACACATCTTTCATTAGCCAAGGAAAGGGGATTCATTACCCTAACTCATGGGGGTACGTGCCATTCGACAAGGCACGGCCTTTCATTAGGTCTTAGGGAGACTTACCTTGCAGGTAACCGTATTACATCGACGGGGACAACCGTACCGACGGCCGAATCGGCTCACGCCGATAGGCTACATGGTTTACGTACATACTAAAATCATACCAAGTCAACATCATGATAAATACATATGGCACAGCAAATTTTACAATTACAACCCACCTGGAAATTGCCGTAGAATATTGCACACAATAGCAAGTACGTAGGATGAGGCTCGACTCCTCAAATACCTACATTTAAGCGAGATAATTTATCAATAATTTATCTCACTACTCAAACTTAACATAAAACCCAAACTTAATAAAAATTAAGTCGTAAGGGTTTTAATCGGATTTTACGTGGACTTGGAACTCTCTTATTTTTGAAAAATAAGGCTCGGAGGATAAAATTTGGAGTCTCGGGACATAAAATAATTTTTGCCAAAATTTTATCATTTTAAAAATATTTTTAAAATTGAAATTGGTATTAAAAACGGGCTTCCGGAACTCAAACTAGGCCTAAAAAAACGAATTGGGTTGTTATGCTAAGAATGGGCCAAAGATGCCCAAGCATTTGGGCCCAACATGCTATAATTGGGCTGCACCAAAGGGCTGCAGATCCGCGGGTTGGGACTGGGCCAGACGCGGGCTCGCGGGCCGAATGCTGCAGCCAGATCGGGCCGCTCGCGGGCCAGAATCGGGCCAAACGCGGCCCGCGCGCCTGAACTAGGGGACAGTAAAAAAAAGCTCAACTACGCAGAGGCAAGATTCAAACCCCTGCCCTATCGAAAACAAACAAGTGCGCACACCACTAGGCTACACACCGTGTTGCAGTATTTAATGAAAACGTTTATAATAATTTTAAACAAAGCCTGCGAATTTGAAACAAGAACAGAGGACGAAATTACAGAACAGAGCTGAAACAAATTTAACCAAATTCGACGACTTTATATCCAACAGCAACCGGGATCGAGACTTGTAAAAACAATAAGTTTTCAGAGTTTTGAAAATATATTTCGAAACCGGGTTTAAAAGTTTTGTTAACTAAACGACAAAAATAATACAAAACAAACGACGGGGATACGAACGATCTAAACAACAAGACGACGGCTCGAAATGACAAAACGAGACACCGAAATCACACGAATTCGTAACAGCGACAACGAGACTCAATTAATACGATAACGAGAGTTCCGAAAATCCACAATAATAACACGAACATTATCCGACAATCAAAACGATATACGAGCCAATAAATCAAACTAATATCGATTCAAATAGTACGAGTATAATCAAACGAGCAAACACGAGCATGAATATATTGAGAAGGTTTCGAAATAATTTACCAGTCTTCGGGAATTTATGAGAAATCGGAAAAACAGGTCGGAACAAGACGGAATGAACGGAGTCTCGACGGGACTCGGAACTCTGAACACGGGGACTACTAGCGAACAGCTGCTCGCTGGGGTATACGTCGGCAACGGCGGGGCTGCTCGGAGGTGCACGCCGAAATTAATGGTGGGAGCTGATGCGACGGGTCGGCGACGACAAGAGGCTTCTCGGAGAACGTTGGCTAACGTCGGTCGATCGTGGGCTGCTCAGGAACGTGGCAATCGTGCGGAGAGGATGATAGTCGCCGGAAAAAGGACAGGTCTTCTGCTGGGGAGAAAGGTACGCGTCGATTTTTTTTTTTTTTTTTT